GAGAAGCAGAATAGGAGGTAAGACTTCTGGTGCAAGCAGTTTATCTGGAAAGGGATTCCAGGAAACACTGATAAGGAGGAGGGAAGTGAAATAGGAACTGGAGGGCAAGGTATGCAAGGTATAAATGAGAAGTTACTGCCACGGTCACCTAGGGTTCAATCCCACAGGTACCCTGAGAGATGGTCCGCTCTCCCTCTCAAATGGAGAGGGAGTTGGGGGGGGTGTCCTCCAGTTCCCATCTATCTTAAACCCAGGGTTGCTCCTAGGCCCATTTCTGATCTCTCCCATGTGGGGGTCAGGAGAAAGCACTCCCAGGACAGCGGAGGGGAATTAAGAAAGCTGTCAGCAGCATTGTGATTACGCCTTTGTTTTCCCCTCCTTACACCCCCACCTTGGCAGCTGCTCTTTGTTGGGAGCCATCCTCCACATAAGGCAGGAAGATGGTGGCTGCAAAGAAGATGAAAAAGTCTCTGGTGTCAAAAACTCTAGGCTCTGGGCCTCCCCGGTGGCGCAGTGGTTGAGCGCTGGGTTGCGAATTGCTCGCAGCCTCTGCAGTGCCGGTTCGATCCCCGGCTGCTCCCCGGCCACCAGGGGAGGGTCCCACATGGTGTGCAGACCTCTCCTACCACCCGCTGCTCCCCTCAGCAGTGCACTTCAGTCCTTCTGCCTGCTCTGCTCCCTGCTCTGGCTCTGGTGAATTCTCTCACCCTCTTGCACTTCTGACTGTACCCAGTGCTTGTATAAATAAATAAAAATAAATCTTAAAAAAAAAAAAAAAAACTCTAGGCTCCAACTTGTTATGAAAATTAGAACTTGTGTGCTGGGGTACAAGCTGACTCTGAAAATAATCAGACAAGCCAAAGCAAACTGGTCATCCTTGCCAATAACTGCCCAGCCTTGAGGAATTCTGAAATAGAGGTCTATGCTGTGTTGGCCAAAACCAGTGTCCATCACTGCAGTGGCAATAATATTCCACACCATATGTGGACAATACTCCAGAGTTGCACACAGATTGTCACTGACCCAGACGATTCTGGTGTCATTAGAAGCATGCCAGCACAGACTGGTGAAAACGCAAAATTTTTCTTTAATAAAACTAGCCAGAGCTTATTTTTTTAAAAAAGGAAGAAAACTGTCAGCTTGCCCACGAGTCAGCACTATTTCTATAAAGGTCCACATAGTAAATATTATCGATTTTTCAGGTTGGATAGTTTGTCGCAACCATTCCACTCTGGTTTTGTAGTGCAAAAGCAGTCACGGAGCTATGACCACAAATAAGAACTGACCTGTGCTAATAAAACTTTATTTACAAAGACAGAGGGCACGGACTTCACTCCACCCTGTTGCACAAACAATTTCAGATGTCCAAGCCAGTCATCAAGGAGGGGGTAGATGGATTTGGACCAATCAGGGGCCAACGGCTGAGGCACTTGACCACTCTGATTTTTAAATGGACTGGCTGCGCTGCATCTTCCCAGGTTGCTGCGTGTCGGGGTGGGCAAGGCCATGGAACCACGCCAAGTACCCCGGGTTAGATCTCTGGCTCTGAGGTTTGGTTTGACATTTTTGTCCAAGTAGTATGGAGCAGGAACCTCGCCAAGGTCAAGCCTGTCTGCCAGGTTCAGATGGTGGGGCTGGCCAGAGCCATGTGGGTTCCCAGGGGCAGGGGATCCAAAAGAGATGGGGAGGAATTGGAGAGTGGGCTTCCATCCCTTGAGCCCAAATCTGGAACTGCCAGGTGGAGCATTTCAGGCTTGTGGCTTTTTTTCTCTTGAGACATCTTCCATCACCCTGAAGTCGTGAGGTAAACCTAGATGGGGAGGATGTCCAAGGTAGAATAATCAACTAGAGCAAAAGTGAGTGTGGAACAGTATGTCTGCATGAATCCTCACTTGTGAAAGAAAAGGCTACTCATGCAAGTGCTGGTGTGTGACTACAAAACCTGGGAGGATACCCCAGGGAGGTATTAAAAGAGCTACATCAAGGGGAAGGGAGGAGCCAAGGGAGACTCCACTCCTCCACAGGGCTCCAATTCTCTTCATTTTCTCTGGGGTGAGTATTCGTTCACCCCATGGTGGGGGCAGGGGGGAGAGAACAGTTTATTCATTCTCCCACCCTCTCATACTTTGCTGCTAAAGAGGTGAGCATCCTATTGGTCTTAGGTGGGGTTTCCCCAGAGTAGACCCTGAGACAGGGCTTTAGGTGCAAGAAATTTAATCTGTGAGGTGATTCCAAGAAAGGAGTAAGAAAGAAGTCACGTGAGGCAAGGAGGAAAAGGCAGCCTGTTCAAGGCTTCATGAACAATTCCTACTGCGGCAATGAGGGCTCATAGGCTCACATTTCCACTGGGGACTTTCAGGGGGAAGCAGGTAGCCTGTACTTCAGTTATCCCATCTGCCAGGGAGAGAGCTGGGGTATTTATTCTCCAAAAGTGTGCCTTTTTTCCACAAGGTCCTTCTAGAAATGTGAGCCCCCAGCACTTCCTGCCTGCAGATCGCTCGTGCATATACAAAACCTTCAGACACAAAGACCCAGATGTGCATGGGACAGGGGATTAGAATAGCACCAGCCACGATGGCTACACATAATAGGAAACAGAACTTGGATCTGACTGGAGGTGATAGTTGATTTTATGTGTCAACTTGACTGGGCCATGGTACCCATGATTCCCAAAAAATATTTAGTGAAACATTATTTGTGCTGTTTCTGTGAAGGCGTTTTGGGTGAGAGTAACATTTAAGTCAGAAGACTCTGAGTGAAGCAGATTGTCTTCTGTGAGGTGAATGATAAGCCTGGCCCAATCAGTTGAAGAATTTAAGAGAATAAGACTGATGTTTCCTGAGACAAATCCTTACAATCCCTTCTTCTCTCTCTCTCTCTCTCTCTCTCTCTCTCTCCCCCCCCATCCCTCCCTCCCTTGAGTCCCACTCCCCCTACCCCTTTCTGCCACCCCACCTCTGAGGGTTGAAAACTTGCATATAACTTTTGACTACCACCAAATTTAACTACTGATATCTTTTATTGACTGGTAACTTCACAGGCAACAGAAACAGTCAGTGAACACATTTTTCTTGTTATATGTATTATATACTGTATTATAATATATGTATTATATTCTTCCACTAAAGTAAGCTACAGGCATGAAAATGTTATTAAGAAAATCTTAAGGGGCGGGGGGAATCCCTGGTGGCGCAGGTGGTTGAGCGCCATACTGTGAAGCTGTCCGCAGCCTCTGCAGCGGAGGTTCGATCCCGCCCGGCCGGCTGACGAGAATCCCACATGGCGAGCATACCTATCCTGCCATGCCCGCTGCTCCCCTCAGCAGTGTATTTCAGTCAGTCTGCCTGTTCTGTTCACTGCTCTGTCTCTGGTGAATCCTCTCACCCTCCCACACATCTGGCCTGTACCCCAGTTCTTGCATAAATAAACAAAATCTTAAAAAAAAAGAAAATCGTAAGGAAGAGAAAATACATTTACATATTTACTGTACTCTTGATACTGTAAGTATATGTCTTCCCTTTATAAGAAAATCCACATATCGCTGCGACCTGCACTGTTTCAACACTGTGTGTTGAAGGGTCAACTACATGTATAAGTAGGCACACACACACATGCACACACATGCATACACACATACACACATGCGTCATTGGTGCTGGGAAATCCTGACTAATACAGCAGAACTTGTCTCATTGGTCTGCATCTACCCATTGCCCTTACTGTACGAATGAGAAAACTGAGGCTCACGGGGGGAATGACTATTGAGTCCCAAGATATTTTCTGCCCCAGCCTACAGCCTCATTCTCTCTTGCTCTCCACCCCCTGCCACCTGGATGATCTGGGATGTGGCTCACCGCCTTGGCAATGGGCAGCAGCAACCTAGCGATCCATTCTGCAGATGCACTAGTGGGCATGTGGCATGTGGCTCCCTCTTACTTTCACATCCCTCCTATGCTCCTCCTATGCAAAATAAATGAATAAATAGGGTCTCCCCAGTGGCGCAAGGGGTTAAGACGCAACCTATGAAGCTCACCGCAGCCATTGCAGCATGAGTGATCCCCAGCCAGGGAGCTACCCACATGGCGCAGCAGACCTCTCTTGTCTCGCCCACTACTCCTCTCAGCAGTGTTTTCAGTCCTTCTGCCTGTTCTATTCCCCGCTCTGTCTGTGGTGAATTCTCTTACCCCCCACACCTCTGGCCTGTACCCCAGTTCTTGTATGCAAAAATAAATAAATCTTTAAAAAATAATAAAACAAAGCAAAGTCAGTTTTTAAAAATAAATTTGTCCAAGTAATTTTGACTTATAGCATTCTATAGGGTTCAGGTTTATACTTTGACACTTGTATACACGACAGTATATACACTGTGTATACATTGTATATACACTGAACAATATCATTTTGTTCAGGGTATGATGTCAATGACAAAAAATAGCTGACTCCCAGCCAGAGCCAATGTTTGTGTGGGTTTGCAAGTGTTCAGCACATCTGTGGGGTTTCCTCCCAAATCTCCAAGATGTGTTGGGTTCGCTGATACGACTCAAGATCTCGGTCAGAGTGGGTGTGGGTGGGCATGAGGTCCCCTGGGATGGAACAGTCCTGGCCAGACCTGAGTTCTGCCCTGTACCCCAAGCCTCCAGGATCGGCTCCAGCCACCCGAGACCCTGAATTGGAATCACAGGTTGGAAAATGAATGAACGAAGACAAATACTTGTTGGATATTAGAAGCATTTGGGGTCTTTATTTAGAAGTTTGGTGATGTTTTTGTGACCAGAAATATGTTAAAGGAACTTAACTCTTGTTTATATCAATTAGCTTGTGGTCAAATTGATTTCGTTTAACTTCCTTTCCCTGAAAGTCGTAGTTTCCAAGAACCTATCAGCCATGGGAAGTGAGGACTTACTGTACAATGTGATGGCCACTGAAAGGCTAGTTTATATCCTCTACCCTACAATTGACCCCTTTTACCTGATTTACCCCCCTCCATCCTTCTCACCTTCTGGCAGTCACCATTTAGACTATGCACTTAAATCGCCATAAGCCAGGCTGGCAAAGGCTTGAACCTCAGACAAACTGGTCCTTTTCATTTCATTGTTGTCCATTTTTCTTTTTGGAGTGTGCGATAAGGGCCAGTGACTTGGGGGTGGGGTTCTTCTCTTCTCACTGTTTATGTAAGTAATATATTGTCAGAATTTAAAAGCACTTCATTGTTTCTTTTTTGTTTAATGATTTATGTACTTATGCATACAAGAACTGGGGTACAGGCCAGAGGTGTTGGGGGTGAGAGGATTCACCAGAGACAGAGTGGGGAGCAGAACAGGCAGATGGACTGAAACATACTGCTGAGGGAAGCAGCGGGCAAGTCAGGAGAGGTCTGCTGTGCCATATTGGTAGCTCCCTGGCTGGCCAGGGGATTGAACTTGTGCTGCAGAGGCTCGTGATAGCTTCATAGTGCTGTGCTTAACCCCTTGCGCCTCCAAGGAGGCCAAGTTCATTGTTTCTTTAAACAGGCAAGTTCACTGGGCTGTACCCACGTGTGCTTGACAGGGAGGCATGCAGAAAACAGAGGTCAGTGGTTGGACTTTGGGGGACACTGGAATTCAGGCTTGGGCTGCTTTGTGCTCAGGCCCATCCCTCTTCATCCCAATCTGCTTCTGTGAAGCCTGGAGGCAGGGGTTTCTAAACATTCTGCATTAATACATTAGTATCACTAATGGTGGTGGTGCATTGGCCAAGAGGCAGTTTAGCTCAGTGGTTAAGCCAACCAAGCTGTGTTCAGATTTCATCTTCACCATCTGGTTAGCTGTGTGGCCTTTGGTAAATTATTCAACCTCTCTGTGCATGTTTCCCCAACCATCAAATGAGAATAATGATGTTATCTACTTCACAGGATTATTATAAAGATTAAGGTACAAAATGCTCCGGTTGTTAGATTTTATTATTGCTCTAACACATTTTCCCTTTTTGGTCTAAACTCCGAGGTTCTTGGGCACAGCAACAGCTGCTTTTCTGATGGGGACCTCCCCAGATTGCCCATTACCTAGGAGATTCCCCTGCCTTTCCCTTTCCTTGGTTCCCAGCTGCCCTCCGCTACCCTGCCACCAGCCTGCATTCTAGTGCCTTCTCCCTTCCCATTTGCCCCTCAGCCCCAGGGTGACCAGAACCCCCACCTTGTAGGACAGTGTTCTAACTCTTTCCCCTTTTTAAGAGATCGACTGCAATTTCTATAATAACATCACATTAGCTAGAAATTAATGTCCTCATTAAGACAGCAATTAGGCACATTAGCGCGGCAATAAAAGAGAAGCTTATGAAATAATTGCTGGTTCCAAAATGCCTTTAATTTAGTATTTTATATTGCACTGTGTTATTAATTTTTTTCCCTTGGCGGAAGATAATAAGAGAAACGTTTGAATTGTGGGAGATTTAAATTTTTTTAAAAATGTTTTTAAAAGAAAGCAGTCTTGACACCTATAGACAGATGATCTTTCTTTTCCCCAAAGCCCCACGGATCCTGAATCCATCAGATGTTGGCAGTGATGGAGGTAGGCAGGGGCCAGGCCATGTCTCAGTATTGTCACCACAATGGCCCATAGCAATATCCTGAGTTCGATCCCCGGCAAGGGAGCTAACCCATATATGGCTCAGCAGACCTCTCCTGTCTCTCCTGCTGCTCCCCTCGGCAATGTATTTCAGTCAATCTGCCTGTTCCGCTTCCCACTCTGTCTCTGGTGAATCCTCTTACTGCCCAACCCTGTACCTCTGGCCTACACCGCAGTTCTTCTACACCAAAATAAAAAATAAAATCTTAAAAAAAAAAAAAAAAGAATTTGAGGGCAAGTAGTATTTGGAAGGTGACCCCAAGATGCATGGGGAAGTGAGATGAGGGTAGGAAGGTAAAGAGACAATCCAGGTAGTGGTTGAAACTGTCAGCAACAACAAAAGTGAGAGGAAGAGGCTGGTGAAGCCCCAGAGGGCAGCATACTGTCTGAGGTAGCAAATGAATCCCTGAGGAGTGGACATATGAGAGGAGATCTAAAGGCAGCCACGGAGGAACCCATGTGAAGATCAGGGGAAAGTAGTGGGGGGAACTGCAGGCACAACATCCTGAAGGTTGTTACAAGCTTCGTGTGAGGTGCTGCCAGGAGGCTGGTGTGGCTGGCATGGCTGAACGGAAGAGGCAGAGGGAGAGAGTGAAAGGGACACAGTGGGAGAGAGATCCAAAAAAAGGAAAGGGGAAAAATTCATGAGGAAGTGAAGCAGATGGTAGCCAAATACAGGCTCCCCAGAATCTGAGGAAGGGCAAGTTATGTCCAGACCCCTCATGTGTTACCTATTGCCCATTATACTGCATAACAAATGTCCCCCAAATCCAGTGACTTAGGACAGGAAGCATTAACTGTTGCTCCAGGGACAGCTGGGTAGCTCTGATCTTGATGGGACTCACTGAGTCTTTTGTCAACGGTGGTCTGGGAGGCACCTCTGGAGACTCAGGTGGGCTCTCTTGGTGTTAGGGGTGGGGCCAGCTGTAAGCTCCTCTAGCATGGCCTTGGCTGGGAGAACAGGGCTCTCTCCTCCAGGTCCCTCATCCTCCAGCAGGCTAGTTTGGACTTTGGTCACATGAAAGAGGGAAGTTGTCCAGATACACACAGCATCTCCTGAGAGCCAGATACACATGCCTTCCATTGTCCCAGACAGGGCACAAAACCAGCCCAGACTCAAGGGCTGTGGAACTAGACCTCCCTGTGGGAGGAGCTTCCCAGTTACAGAGGCAGTGAGTACAGTTGGTGGGATGTAAAACCTCTTTAGAGATCAATCCACGCTGGCTCCATTTTTTGTTTGGGGATTGATAATCACTCTCTCTCCCTTTCTGGTTACCTACCCCAAGGCGTTATATGGTCCTCCACTCCAGCCCTGCTCCTCTATAGTTTCTCTTGCCTGTGTTTATTCTAAGGTTCCAAACAATCTGTAGCTTGCGTTGTTCAAAACCCCAAATTCCTGACAAGTCTTCCCTTCCTACTCTGCTTAGGGATGTGAGTGTAAGCAACATTTTTAAATTGAAATAACTGGTTCTCCTAATAGTGAAAGAACAGCTGGTGACAGCTACAGCAGGTCAGAGAGGTCTGCCTATAGGGTGCCCCTGAGCAAGGGAGAAGCGAGCGCTCCAGCATGGCTGGAACTCACGGACTACCCCTTGTGCAGTGTTCAACTTGCCCAACCATACTAGTCCTTGATGAACAGGGTATTGGAGAGGAAAAGGGAAGAAAAAAAGGAGAAAGGGATTCTACCAGAGCCAGGGCACTATTTACCTTAGTGCTCTTGTCAGATGAAGGAACTGAGAGACCCAGGAGGGAAACCCAGACAGGCAGCCTGGTTTCCGTGAACCAAGGCTGGTCCAGGCCCTGTGAGAAAGGGGTAGAGGATCAGGAGGGTAGGAAAGCCCCAGCTGAAATGACCCAGTTGGCTTCCCTATCCCAGACCCCCTATCCTGTGTCCCAAGGAATTAAGTACCTGCTAAGTTCTCAGTTGCCATGGAGACTGCCACAAAGAATGGAAAGAACACCCCAGGGGCGTAAAGAAGCAGTATGCTCAGTTTTTGGGGGGTACCATCCAGAATATGGGGGTTACAGGGGGGTGGGGAGAGAACGGATTACATTCTTCTGGGGCTCGAAAAAGCTCAGAGAGTCAGACCAGGGTCGTTGGGGTTAAGGAGCCTGGAACCTTCTGTGGCCCTCACCAGTCATCAGAAGGAAGGTGGGGGCAACTCAGCTCTGGCATGCGCGTTTCCAATTCTAACCCACACTTCTGAAGCCCTCCTGGTAGCCGGGTGCTCCCCACTCTATGCCTGTAGGAGGTGGGAGAGCCTTCACAGGAGTTGTTTGTTTTTTTGTTTTTTAAATTTCTAATTCCACTTTAGAAGGAGGCACTGGCTGGGGAGCAGCACAGGTCTGACACCCACCAAATTACCCTAAACCCAAAAACAGGTCCAATCTTACTGCCATCCCCTTCCCCACACCCTTTCATCAGTGAAGAAACTGTCCAGACATCCCACAGTATGGGGAGGAGGGTGAATTTAAACCCCCCAAAGGCAACCTGCAGCCCAGCTCCCACCCAACACACACACACACAAGTTCTCTAAACCTCCAAGAAAGCAAGCAAGGCACAGTGTAGTGGCAGCTGCAGGTTTTTTTTTTTTTTAATCTGTTAATAAAACGCAAGTGAATCAAATCCGCTCCGAGGGAAGGGGGGGGGCGGCATGGTGTTTGCAGAAGTTGGAAATTTAATAAGAAGGAAAAATAAAAATAGCCACTGTGCTGGAGAGACAGAGAGAGGGTTGGGGGAAGTAGGTGGTGTGGGACTTCAGACTCGGTGGAGACACATGCAGAGGGAAGAGACAGAGATGCTGGAAAAGGTGAGGGTGTCCTCTCACCCCCACTTGGGACACCACCCAGAGGGGCCCAATTTCTTGGCAGATTTTTCTCAAGGCTAGTGAGGCACGGAGGGACTGCAATCTGAGAGTCAAGATGAGGAGGTCTAGCCCTTGGCTGTTAGTTTTTGCAGCACCCCCCACCTTCTGAGCAGCTCATAGGCAGGGCTACCAAGAACAGCTGTGTAGGTTGCCCACAAAACAAGGGTGGAAGACGGAGCAAAAGTTGGTATCACTTTTTCCCATCTTCTTTTGCAGAGAGCAAAGGTGCCTTTTAAAGACCAGACCCACACACCAAAAAGGTGGAAACAAACAAAAGGTCCATCAACAGATGAACCAAATAAACAAATATGGTTCATGCATACAGCAGAATATCATTCAGCCATAAAAGGGACCACTGTACTAACGTGCTACAATATGGATGAAACTTTAAAACTTTATGTTGGGTGAAAGAAGCCAGACACAAAAGGTCACACATTGCATGATTCCATTTATATGAAATATCCAGAATAAGCAAATCTATGGAGACAGAAAACAGATTGGTGACTGCCAGGGGCTGGAGGAAGGGAAAGTTAGAGAAAGACTGCTTCGTAGGCACAGTTTCCCTTTGGAGTGATGGAAAGATACAGAACTAGACAGAGGTGGTCATGGCACAACATGTGAAGATACTAAATTGTTTAGCTTAAAATAGTTGATTTTCTGTTGGGTGACTATCTCCTCAATTAAAAAAAGAAAGACCTACATAAAGATATGGTTAGCCAGCTGGTCCCCTCTACCTGATGGATAACATCCCTACCACTCCCAGAAGACCCAGGATTGCCAACAAGCCCAGGCCAGAGCAGCCTTGGGGCCTTCTGGGAGTGATCAAATGGAATGCACACACAAATTCAGTCATTCATTTACTCATTCATCCACTTAACCAATACTTACTACTTATTTTGTGCCAGGCAGATAGGACAGGGAGGGACACTGCATGTCTTTTTAACAGGAAGCTCACAAGAAGGTGACATTTGAGCAAAACCCTGAAATAAGCAAAAAGGAGTACCATATGGCTTATCTGGGGGGGTCAAGCTTTCCAGACAGAGGAAATGACCACTGCAAAGCAGAGCGCTGCCTTGTTTGAAATGTAGGTTCGTTTGCCTAATTAAGGCTCTGCTAGTCTTTAAATGTTTTTAATTTCCAATTCTGACTTAGATGTGTCACCACTAGGAGATGGCATAGGCATCGTGATGCCCATTAGATTCCTTCAAAAAACTAAAAGTCTTCGATTTCTATCACCAGCGGTCCTATGCTAGGAAGAGGAAAATAAACATAGCAGAACAGAGCCAGCACTTGCTAGGTGCCAGATCGCCACCCTATTGGCTCATTTAATCCTCCTAATGAACCCAATTATGTCAAAAAATGATCTCCATTTTCAAACTGAGGCACCGAGAGATGAAGTTGTTCAACCAAACTGGTAAGAGGCAGCTCAGGATTTGAACTTCGGACGCCTGCCTGTTGATCCAGGTGGGTGAGACCTGTAAGCTTCCCGTGAGGCTCCACTTTGACAGGCTCCCCCTCTCCAGCCCCCCACCCCCCCTTTGGAGTTGCCACGGTCCAGGGACTCACAAAGGGGTGGAGCCCAAGGAAGGGTCCCGGCGTGGGGGAGTCGGCGCTTGGCGGGTGATTGATGGTTTAATATCTCTCCCCGCGACCCGGGCCCCTCCTGGCCCGCGCCGCCGGAGGGCAGTCCCCCAGCGAGAAGCAGAGATGGGATAATTCGGTTACCAAAAAGAGAACAAAATTCCAGAGAGAGAGTGGGAGGGAGAGAACGAGAGAGAGACGGAGGAACAGACGAGGGGGTGAGCAGCGAACCGTCTGGTCGGGCTGGGCAGAGGCGGAGGGAGACGACCCAGTCCTGATGGTCTGAGACTCGCGGCCCCCGGGGCTCTTCACCCGCGGCTGCCTTCGGGGCTGGCCCGCCGAGGGGGCCGGCGCTGGGAGCGAGCGCCGCCAGGCACGGCCAAGGCCTCTAGAAGGGGCAGCGCACTGCCCCGGGACAAGGCTGGATGGAGGCTTGGGGGGGCAAAACAGGGGGAGGCGGCGGTTGGGGAGCTGGGAGGAGGCAGGGGTACCCAGGTCAGGAGCCTCGCGGCATCTGTGACTCTAGATCCTCACGCTCTCGCTCTCGGTCTCTCCTCTCTTCTCTCCCTCTCCGACTTCGCTTCTCCCTGCCTCCGCGACCCGCAGCCGGCCCAGCCCAGCAGAGCTCACCCGGCCGGTGCTGTCCCTGGAGCCCGGGTCCTCGGCTCCACCTCTCTCTCTCCGACGTCTGTCCCCTCACGGCCCCCAGAGGGCGCCTGTGAACACCTGAGCAGGTCGCCCCCCTCCTGGGCTTGGCACCGGTGGGGTCCCCCCATCAGGTGTGAGTTTTCGTCTTGCTGCCGTCACTTACTTCCCACCGAGGGGCGTAAACAACACTGTGTGGTCTCAGGTTCTGGAGGTCGGAAGTCTGCTTCGGATCTCATTGGGCGAAGCTCCAGGTGCCAGTGGACCCGAAGCTCCTGGAAGGAGACTTTACCGGCTCATTCCTGAGTGGGTAGGTTTCAGTTCCTTGGAATGGTAGGACCAAAGCCCACATTTTCTTGCCGGTTGTCAGCCGATTCTCTTTCCCAGCTTCCATCGGTGACCTTGCACTAACTGGCTGGTGGCCCCTCCCATCATCTTCAAGGCCAGCAAAAGGGGTGTCCTCAAGTGGTGTCCTTCTGATCCCCCATTCTGCAGCCCTCTTCCACTCTTAAGGATATGTGATTATGTTAGGGGGAAAAGGTGGTCCCAAAGCAAATTCCATACAGGCTTTGTGGACTCCACCCCCACCACAGGTCAAAGCCAAAGACACTGGGAACTCCAAATCCCATCACCACCAAAGGGAAGGTGGCTGGGACCTGAGGGTGGGGCTAAGCAGCCAAGTGGATACAAAAGGCAGACACGTGGGCTTTGGGGGGCTCTCCATTTTGGGGCCCTCGGCCAGCTCGCGGAGTCCGTCTAGCTCTGAGAGTGACTTTGGGTTTCCAGGTCGGTGGATCGGGTAGGACGCATTAAAGACTTTATTTCCCTATTTTCTCCCTGAGTTGTACATTTTCCTTATTTCTTTTTCTCTTGTAAATAAACCTTTTATTAACCCTTTTGTGTGTGTCTGTAGTAGAGTATTCATAAGTCTCTTTAAAGCGCGCGGGTGAGGACCCACAGCCAGGAACCCGTTTAATATCGGGGTTGCTCTATAACAATTAGATTAGACCCATCAGGTAACAGGATAATCTCCCTGTCTGAAGCTCCTTAATTACATTTACAAAGTCCTCTATGCTAGATAAGGGTATATAGTCACAGGTTCCAGAGGTCAGGAGAGAGATGTCTTTGGGGGACAACTGTTCTGTCTCAGAGAAACACTTGTAGCCCTCCCTTGAGTACCACAAAGCCCTGAACACCCTGACCATCTTACCTTTCTGCTCTCATCTTCCCTCTTTCTTACCCTCTTTCCCGCCTGGGTTTCCAAACCCACAGGCATAGTTGGCCTGAGGCCTTCACAGCAGCTTTTCCCTCTGCCAGGACCGTCCTCTTCCACAAGCCTCCTGCCTCACCTCCCATCATGTCCTATCCCATGTTCCCTCCCAGGGAGGTTTCCTTGACACCACCCCTCACTATTCACAAAGCCACAAACCCCCATTCCTGTTTTTCTCCACTCCACTCACTGCCCTGGGATACACCCAGGGCAGTTTATTTGTTTATCTTGTCTCTTATCTGGCACTCCCACTGAAATGTCAGCCTTATGGGGTGAGTTCCTTGCCTATGCTATTCCCTCCTGACTTTGCAGGGTCCGACTGTAACAGGGTGGTCCCCAGGAAAGGGGGAGGTTCCCTGCCCCACCCAAGGGAGGGTGGAGCTGAGCAGAAAGAGGAGAAGCTGCAGAAGAGACTGAGGAAGGAAGGAAGCAGGATGGAGCCAGTAGACCTGGAGGAGGCGCATGGAGCCTAGAGACACGTGAAGAAACTGCGCTTGTCTTTGGGTTGTGGACTGGGTGACACAGATGTGGGTGAGACCCACGGGGAGGTGACCATGGCAG